AAGCGATTTCAGTCTTTCGTTATCTTCTTCTAATAGATCCGTATTCACCTGCACTATCTCGGAGGTATCCAAAGTGATAAGCTCTGGCTGGATCTGGAACAATTTTTCATCCCGATACAAAGTCCAGAAGCACATAATTCAAGGAATTATTAGTATGAACACCTAGCGCGCTACTGGAAGGAACTGCCATCGATCCTTTTCATGTACTGCCATCAACACATAACGACTTCTCCAGCCACAACTTTTCCTCCCCTTGCCTAGCCCGAACCCCTCCTCTCCTCGCCTCCCGCTCTTTGCCGCCTTCTAGTTCACACAATCCCTTAACAGATTCCAGAGCCATCGCTTCCTTCCTTTAAATGCCACTTGGTTTGTTAGGCCTCTCTAACATTACTTCTTGCAAAGAGGCCAATACAAGCAAACATCATTTCATCATTTTTTATCAAAAAGAGTGAGAGAGGAAACGAATCGTATCTTTACAGTGTTCGGATAAACAAAACAGGCTTTCATTTCGAGAACAAAGCCTACCATAATAAAGCAGAAAGATAAAATGACGCCCAGTCGGAGAGAGACAGCAGCAAAATTAAAAAAATTTTGCATCTGCTTTATTAAATTTCTGCAGATACGATGGACTCTGACTGCCCCCATCGGTTCTCCCTCCCCCTCTCTGTATTCCTAACCCCATCTTCTTCATAGCTTTCATGCCTACAGGCCGAGCAATGGTAACTTTTCCACCACTAACAAAACCATCGATGGTTTCTGCATTTCAGATTCAGATTAATTTTATTTCACTTTAACACAATCGAGATTTAAAGAAGAACCTTGTCAAGAAGTTGCTTCACTTCACGCTCACGCCGCTGGCTCTTTGATTCAAATGGGTTAGCCAAAAGAGCATTAAAATTGGGCTCGCCACAACCTAAACACGGAGCAAAAAAAATTTTAAAAAGTGACGCAAATCAAAAAGAATCAATCGCTGTGTGCAATAAGTTAGCCGATGCCATTACGCGACTTTTGCGCTAATTCGTGCTCCAGTAAGATGGCTTGGACGAGGTGCTTCTGTCTTATGTGAGTTATACGTTTTGGACACGTTTCAAT